GATTTTCAACAGCACAACCCCTAGCAATATTCATCAGAGGTGTCATGAACGGTTCCACGTATCGTCATAACTGGTGTGTGTTCAGTACGACTCAAAGCCTCCACTGGTTGTACAGTATGTGTGATTATGCGTGACTCCAGGATTTGACTTGGTACAGTAGACTCCATATCAATTAAAAGGTGTCCTGTATGATTCCGTGCATCATCACAACTCAGTCAGTGTCACCCTGAGAATGGAGTCCTGTGCGCCATTCTCCATGAACCTTGTGATTTTAAACAGTATACAACCCCTAGGCTATCAATATCAACCAGAGGTGTCATGTACAATTCCTCACATCGCCACAACTGGTGTCAGCCTCACTCACCCTGAGGAAGGAGTCCAACGCTCCGTTCTCCATGAACTCGGTGATGATGAGCACGGGGCAGCTGTGGGTCAGCACGCCCTCCAGCCGGATCACGTTGGGATGGTCGAACTGGCCCATGATTGACGCTTCCCCCAGGAAGTCCCGCCTCTGGCGCTCTGTGTAACCCGCCTTCAGTGTCTTGATGGCCACCATCCCCTCACGGTGGCAGGCCTGCTTCAGGCGCCCGCGGCACACCTCCCCGAACTCACCTGGGTGGGGAAGGGGGTGGGTGGAAGGAGTGGAGGAGTGAGGGAGAGGAGGGAGCATTACTGGTTTGAAATGAGGTGGAGGAGGAAGAACTCAGGTGGAGAACTCAGAAAATATAGGAGCGAAAGGAGGAGATTGGAAAAGAGCAAGGGATGGGGGTTTGGCTGTGTAGGAGATAGAGTTAGTGAGGAGGGGAGGAAATGAGAGCTCAGGAGTCTGAGACGTTGGGGAGGGATTGAGGGACAGAAAGATCAACCTGCGACCGGGAGTGGTGCCTGGGACCGGTGTAGGGAGAGAGGGGACGGATGAGGAGCTTGGGGGTTTTGGTGCCTTGGTAAAAAGTTGGGTTTAAAAAGGAAAAAGAGAAAGAAAGAAAGGAAAGGGAGGAAAGCAAAGTAGTCATTCAAGGTGAAGTTAGGAGAAAGACGACATGCTCTTGGAGAAGAAACAGCAGACTTGGTGGATGACAGAAGCGGACACTCCAAACTCCCGTTCTCCTCCAATGCACACATACCCCCTCAACAACCCCTGCCCCTCCTCTGAACACACACTCCGCCCACCCAGCACACATCCTGTTCAACCAACCAACCAACCAACCCCAAACCCCCACCCCCAACATCAACCACTCCCCTAACCACTCCCCCAACATCAACCACTCCCCTAACCCCTCCCCCAAAACACAATCCACTCCAAAAAAGCCTAACCCTCAAAGACCACACTTCAAAAAGACTGCACTAAAAAAGGTATAATCTTTGTAAATGATATGAGAAATAGGACTGGTGGAGTTGTCACACATGCAGCTAACAAAATTATATGGAAATGTCTGCTCTACTCAAAATTACAACCAACTAATTGCAGCATTACCGCAAAAATGGAAGAGGCAAGTGGAAGGGGGAGAAAGTAAGTAACTTGTCTGTCGGCCCTGCATTAAAGACCAAAATTGGCTAAAGAAAATTGTGACAAATAAAAAAAGTATACCCGTTTCATTTAAGGACCAAAATATTGACAGCTGCGCCATATAGATTGCAAAAAAGTTGGGAAGAGATTTTCGATGTACCAATTCCATGGCACATGGTTTATGAACTGATACACAAAACAACCCTGGATTCATCTGATGCAGCACTCGATCACTCTCCTTCTTGGTCAAATAGCCCTTACACAGCCTGGAGGTGTGTTGGGTCATTGTCCTGTTGAAAAACAGGTGATAGCACAAACCAGATGGGATGGAGAATCGCTGCAGAATGCTGTGGTAGCCATGCTGGTTAAGTGTGCTTTGAATTCTAAATAAATCACTGACAGTGTCACCAGCAAAGCACCCCCTCACCATCACACCTCCTCCTCCATGCTTTACGGTACCACACATGCGGTCAAATAAGCATTTACAAAGGCGGTTGGATTAGTGCTCATCAGATGACTTTCCTCCACAATCCCTCGACCTCCCAATGAGATGGTTCATGGTGTCGCAGAGTGGGCAGCAGCCAACGGTGTTCAGCATCTGGAACATTGATTAAGTGTTTACTAATCTGGAGTTATTGGGCTGCATCTGAGTGCAGTAACTCAAAACTATTTGACCTGGCTCTGAAGCATTTCATGGTTAAGTGCAATACAGTGCTCATGTCTTAAAGTAATGATGGACTGTCATTTCCCTTTGCTTATTTGAGCAGTTTCTTGCCATAATATGGACTTGGTCTTTTACCAAATAGGACTATATGCTGTATACCACCCTTACCTTGTCACAACACAACTAATTGGCTCAAACACATTAAGAAGGAAAGAAATTCCACAAATTAACTTTTAACAAGGCACACCTGTTAATTGAAATGCATTCCAGGTGACTACCTCATGAAGCTGGTTGAGAGAATGCCAATAGTGTGCAAAACTGTCATCAAGGCAAAGGGTGGCTACTTTGAAGAATCTCAAATATAAAATATATTTTGATTTGTTTATCGCTTTTTTGGTTACTACATGATTCCATATGTGTTATTTCATAGTTTTGATGTCTTCACTATTATTCTACAATGTAGAAAATAGTACAAATAAAGAAAAACCCTGGAATGAGTTGGTGTGTCAAAAATTTTGACTGGTACTGTTTATGGGGGATACAACCATTAGATCATTTGTTTTGGTACTGTCCATATGTAGCTTGTTTTGGTCGCAGGTTTAGGAATGGCTGAAGAATTGCAACATTTACCTAGAGCTAACTCGTCAAATAGCACTGCTGGGTGATTTAAAAAGTCATAGTCAATCGATCAATAATATAATAACACTTTTAGCAAAAATGTTTATCTTTAATTTACAATATGTAGAATCTATGAGAATGGAAAGGTTCAGAACTTTTGTGAAACATCACTGCACAATTGAAAAATATGGCAAATACAAATAAAAACTGGATGGTTTTCAGAGAGAGATGGGAGGGGTTGAGTGGAGCTGAAGGATAGGACAAAAAACAAACAAAAGTTAACTATTGTAAAATATTCTGTGTCCGAAAAATTTATATAGTATGCATAAGCTGGAAGTAGAAACCTAAGTGTTGTTGTCCATTAGTTCACTCCAATTAGGGGAGGGATGATAGGGTTAGGGGAAAATAATAAAGGAAAATATATTTAAAAATATATAATTTATATACACTACCGGTCAAAAGTTTTAGAACACCTACTCATTCAAGGGTTTTTCTTTATTTTTACTATTTTCCACATTGTAGAATAATAGTGAAGACATCAAAACTATGAAATAACACATATGGAATCATGTAGTAACAAAAAAGTGTTAAACAAATCAAAATATATTTTATATTTGAGATTCTTCAAATAGCCACCCTTTGCCTTGATGACAGCTTTGCACACTCTTGCCATTCTCTCAACCAGCTTCATGAGGTAGTCACCTGGAATGCATTTCAATTAACAGGTGTGCCTTCTTAAAAGTTAATTTGTGGAATTTCTTTCCTTCTTAATGCATTTGAGCCAATCAGTTGTGTTGTGACAAGGTAGGGGGGTATACAGAAGATATCCCTATTTGGTAAAAGACCAAGTCCATATTATGGCAAGAACAGCTCAAATAAGCAAAGAGAAACGACAGTCCATCATTACTTGAAGACATGAAGGTCAGTTAATACGGAACATTTCAAGAACTTTGAACGTTTTTTCAAGTGCAGTTGCAAAAACCATCAAGCGCTATGATGAAACTGGCTCTCAAGAGGACCGCCACAGAGTTCAAGTAACAGACACATCTCAACATCAACTGTTCAGAGGAGACTGTGAATCAGGCCTTCATGGTCGAATTGCTGCAAAGAAACCACTACTAAAGGTCACCAATAAGAAGAAGAGACTTGCTTGGGCCAAGAAACACGAGCAATGGACATTAGACCGGTGGAAATCTGTCCTGGTCTGATGAGTCAAAATTTGAGATTTTTGGTTCCAACCGCTGTGTCTTTGTGAGATGCGGTGTGGGTGAACGGATGATATCCGCATGTGTGGTTCCCACCGTAAAGCATGGAGGTGTTATGGTGTGGGGGTGCTTTGCTGGTGACACTGTCTGTGATTTATTTAGAATTCAAGGCACACTTAACCAGCATGGCTACCACAGCATTATGCAGCGATACACCATCCCATCTGGTAAGGGCTATCGTACCAATAAGGAGAGTGATGGAGTGCTGCATCAGATGACCTGGCCTCCACAATCCCCCGACCTCAACCAAATTGAGATGGTTTGAGATGAGTCGGACGGCAGAGTGAAGGAAAAGCAGCCAACAAGTGCTCAGCATATGTGGGAAAAGCATTCCAGGTTAAGCTGGTTGAGGGAATGCCAAGAGTGTACAAAGCTGTCATCAAGGCAAAGGGTGGCTATTTGAAGAAGCTCAAATATAAAATTTGTTTAACACTATTTTGGTTACTACATGATTCCATGTGTTACTCCTGAGTGGCGCAGTGGTCTAAGGCACTGCATCGCAGTGCTAACTGTGCCACTAGAGATCCTGGTTCGAATCCAGGCTCAAATAACCAGGATCTCTAGTGGAGACTCATGGGCGGCGCACAATTGGCCCAGGGTAGGGGAGGGAATGGCCGGCAGGGATGTAGCTCAGTTGATAGAGCATGGTGTTTGCAATGCCAGGGTTGTGGGTTCGATTCCCATGGGGGGCCAGTATAAAAAAATAAATAATAATAATAATGTATTCACAACTGTAAGTTGCTCTGGATAAGAGCGTCTGCTAAATGACTAAAATGTAAATAGTTTTGATGTCTTCACTATTATTCTACAATATAGAAAATAGTAAAAAATTAAGAAAAACCCTTGAATGAGTAGGTGTGTCCAAACGTTTGACTGGTACTGTAAATATATATTTTTAAAGACCGCACTTCAACACCTAAGTATATTGGTTACCTGCACCAATGACCTCCTCGATCTTCACACATGAGATGTCTATCTCCTTGGCAAACTCGTGGATGGCCTCGTTGGGGTCCTCGTAAGTGAACGGGTCAATATACACTTTCACCCCCGGGGAAACTAGAGAGATAGACCGAAGGAGAAGGAGCCGAAATGAAGGGAGGATTGCATTATATGTTTTTCGCCAGGTCTTGAATACACACATTCATCAGATATGCATGACACTGGCAGTTTTGAATTCATGTGTTCCAATGTGGAGTTACTAACTAATACAGTTATGACTGGAATGAAATTATAAGCATGAACAGCGCATTGGCATATCTATCACACAGCTCTGTGAGTCTTGAAGAGCAAGGGGGGTTTGATAAACCTGATCTAGATAATCATGGTTTTCATTGAGCAAATGCAGTTTCCTGCCTTGGTCAGGTGATTGGATAATTCATTCAATCAGGGTGTTTACTGTCTTGGTTTGAACAAAGGACCACAGAAACTGCAGCTCTTCAGGACTAGAGTTGTATAGTATACACACGCACACGTACACTCACACAACCCCCTCCCCAAACACACACACAAACCCCTCCCCCAACACACACACACAAATACACAACCCCCTTCCCCCCAACACACACACACACATACAAGCCCCTCCCCCAACACACAAATACACAACCCCTTCCCCCCAACACACACACACATTCAAGCCCCTCCCCCAACACACACACCATCCCCCTGTGCTCACCGTGCTGCTGCAGTTTCTCTGTGTACTCCAGCTCCGAACCACTGTGTTGCTTCCTGCAAAAAAAGGACCACACACACACAATCTCATTCGCATGATCAATCTTCATTCTTGGCTGGCACTCCACAGTAGGCTGCTTTCAAATAACAAGCAGAAGATAATAGATTGTATGCAGACAGTCAGGACTGGAAGAATGGAACAATGCTCAGGGTGGCTTAAGCCTTTCTAAGGGCCTTTTCAGGATTCAAGAAGCCAAGAGACCCAAGATACCAAAGAATTGCCAAATAATGACCAAAAAGGCCTGTATTAGATAAATAGTTACATATCAAACACTTACTTAGAGCAGACTATGGCAATGACCACAAGGGCAACAATGACCACTAGACCGGCCGACGCCGAGCCCACGATGAGCGGCAGCAGGTCCTGCACCGACTTCTGAGGGTCACCTGAAGGTCACCAGAAAAATAAAACAACAATTAACATCTGAAATGTCACTGAGGAATTCTTAAAGAAACAGCTAGTGAAATATGGAAGCGGATTCATGCCAAAACAAATAATGGGATGTAAATTGTATTCCAATCTGTGTTTTGTTTTTCATTTAGACACAATAAAAGTGCTTTATCAAGAAAAGCCAAGTTAGTGGCCTTGTGGTTAGATTGTCCGCCCTGCGATTGTAAGGTTGGGAGTTCGATCCCCGACCAGTGCGTCTCTGCATGGCACTCAGCATTGAGATAGATTGGAGGTAAGTCCTCATGCTACAGAAACAGGAGGCTGGCTGCTGCTCCTAGAAGCCAAGGCTTGTGCAAGGCTACTTACTTATTCCAAAAAACAATGCACTCTGGTAAAAAAAAAACAGATATTGAAAAACAAGTAATTTTATTTGTATTAATCTGCTTGCATAATAAACAGTAGACTGTAAAGATTTCACACAGCCATTAAGAGCAATTTCAAAAACAGACAGCTTCTTGAAATCGCTTCTTCAGTGTTCTTTCACTACTTGGATGGATTGTACTTATTAAAGTGAGCATAGAAAAGCTTTGAAACACTGGTGAAGAAAAAAATGAAAGGCATTAACAATGGTGGAGGACAATGATAAACAGTGAAGGGAGAGAGCGAGGGGAGGATGAGAAAGAGGCAATTAAGTAGTGAAGGTGGAAAAGGAGGAGAGAAAGAGGGAAAGCGAGAGGCAGGAGGAGAGAGAGAGAAATGCGTACTGTGTATGGAGGTGCTGAAGTCCTTAGGGATGCTGTAGTGTCCGTAGCCAGCCACAGTGCGAGCCCGGACCTGGACAATGTAGGAAGTGGAGGCCCTCAGTCCCTCCACATGGGTTGAGCTGTGCTGGGCTGTCACAGTGTGAGACATGGCCTGGCCCTATGGAACACATCAATCAATCAACCAATCAAACAAATGTATTTATGAAACCCTTTTTACATCAGCAGTTGTCACATGATTTTACAGTAACACAGCTTAGACTGAAATCAGAGGCAGATTGACTAGGAAAACTCCCTAGAAGCAAGAAAACCTTGAGGAACCCGACAATACATCGATTAGAATAGAAAAAATGCAAAATTCTTCTTCTTTAAAAAAAAAAAAAGGGACAGCGTTCACTTGATGTAGTTGAGTGTATTTGGTTCATATTCTTTTCTATACGAGCAGCATGTCTATGTCCATGATGCTGATGCTGCTGAAGAACACAATACACAGCTGCATCAAGTGAGCGCTAACCTGTGAAATGCCAAAAACAACCCAGCTTCAGACAAAACGCATACGCAATATTTATTTTTCAAACATATTTTGTACAATTGTTTTCTTTCCAGTGACTCTTCAAACTGAAGGTACAGAGTAAATGTTTACTTAAGTAAATCATGATTGAATCAGAGAACAGTTAGCCTGGTCCCAGATCTGTTTGTGCTGTATAGTCAACACCTACAACCATAGGGACCAGGCTATAAAACAGTGCCTTACCCTTTCGTAGTACTTAATCTCATAATCCAGGATGACCCCGTTGGGTTTCTCTGGGGGAAGCCAGGACAGGCTGAGGGTGTCTGAGGTGGACTTCATCAGGTGCACTGTGGGTATTGCTGACGGTGCTGTGATTGGACAACAACAAAAAGGTGATGTTAATAAGTAAAATAAATACAAGCTTTCATGTTGAATATGTTAAGAGTATTTCTGTTCCACTGCATAAAATAAATTAGTAAAGTGTACAAAATCTTCATCTAGCATTGTTTACGATTATCTGACTTCTTACCATTACATTTATTTGACCATTCTCCATGACCTTTCAGTTTATTGATTTGGTACTAAGCTGAAATGACACATACTGAGTCCATAAACAAAGCATCAGTACTGAGAACCAGATGAGACGGTAAAAAGTAGATAACTTTGTTGCTGCTAACCTGAGTTGAGTGGTAAAGTTGGTGACCTTGAGTGGTGTGTCGTCGTGTGGTGAGAGTGGTGATGTTAAGTGGTAGGTAGCTACATTACTTACAGTGGTGACCTTAAGTGGTGTGTGGTGAGGTGATTGTGAGTGCCGATATCAAGTATTCATGTTGAGTGCTGCTAACGTTAAGCGCTGACAAAGCGTTGTGGCGATACTAACCGGCCTGGTTGGTGGTGATGTTCACGGTGGCGTATCGTGGTGCGCTGGGGCTCTTCCCAGAGACGCCATTGACCGCCTGGACCTCAAAGCTGTAGCGGGTGTGCGCCAGCAGGTTCCTCACCACCACCTTCTTCTGGGTCAGGCCGAGTCGGCGCGGCAATATGTCCATGTTGTCGTCGCAGCGTGAGCACGGGCTCTGGTCGCGCAGACACTTCTTACACACCACGTTGTAGATGACGTCGTCGCGCCCGCCGGCGTCCAGCGGCTCTTCCCACTCCAGGGCGATGGAGGTCTCGTTCACCGTGGAGATGACGTTCTGAGGTGGCGAGGGCACGGCTGGACAGAAACACCGCATACGGGTTAGTGATGTCCTCTGAACACTTTTTATAGAAGCTAATTTAGTAGAACCTCACTTATAGAACCTTACTGTTAGAATGGTATGAAACCATACTCTTAGAAATTCACTTTTAGAACCCCACTTTTAGAACCCCACTCTTCGAACCCTACTCTAAGAATCCCACTGTAGAACCCTGCTCTTAGAACCTCACTATTGAAGGGGTAAATTATTTAGTTGATGATTTGCTTACTAAGATCCCAATTAGGGCTTATCTTCCTGGATCCATACAGTTCATACAATTGTTTGGTTTCTGGTGGAGAAATATGATCTCCAGCACATAATGAATTGAATAGAAGTCTTTATTCATTTTATATATACCATGTTCATTCCATGCATGACTTCAACATTATAATTCATGGAACTTAAATCATTACCCATTAAACAGCAATGGGAGTTCATTCCATAAAGTAGAAATATGTTCTGCTATACATGAGGAAATAAATAGCAGGATCCATATAGCGAATATAAACCATATCCAACCCATGCATGACTTAAACATTAGTATTCATGAAACTTGATTCATTACCCATAAAATAGCGATGATCTGAATTTAAATGATCTATTGCGCAGTGGTGGTGCATGATACTGTATACCTATGGGCCAGTGTTAATCAATAGAGACAAGTTCTTTAAATAAGAATGGTATGAAATCGGGATAAAGTGTGATAACTGCTACAGGGGACAACTGGAGCAGCAAGCAGAAGGTTTCTTTCATCCAGTTACAGAGGCTGATGGGGAACCTAACCCCAAGCCCTCTCAAAACAGATTCAGACAACACCTACTGCAGCAGCAGCACATGGCGAGGGAAAGTCGAGGCAAGGTAATGCTTTCAGGGTGTCTCAGTTCACGCAACTCAACCAACTCAGTTCAGCTCCTCTGCCTGTTCGCCCTAAGTGGAGTGTGTTTCCCCCCCCCATGCTCTGTCCTATCCAATTAGACTGACACAGTTTGGAGTGTGGCCTCATCTAATTGGGCACACAGTCTGAAATGCTGGGCTCCCACGCGAGCCCGGGCTGAGCTTTCTAGTACAATACACTCAACCCCTTGCAAAACATTGTCTTGCCAGGCCTGGCACAAGCTCTGACAGACTATAGGGGAAGTATGGTGTCCGAATGGTCTACGAGGATAGTGACACAGTCCGAATTGTCTCGACAAGGGGAGTCGGCAAGAGTCATAGCGGCTCAGTCACAGTTTATGTATGTTATGTGGGAGAAAAAAAGGCCTTTGGTGTTAGGCTATGTCACAATGTCAAAGCAGTGCATGTCTATCACACATCAATTTTGATATCTCTGAGAAACACTGTGATTTCTTTGAGAAAGGTGTCTGTGGAAACAACTGTAGATGCTCAAGTTAAAACTAAACTACCTTCACAGACACTTACACCATAGGGGCCAGTCCCTCAGACAAAGATTAAGCCTAGTTCTAGACTAAATAGCATGCTCAATGGAGAATCATCATTGAGCATGCACTTTAGTCCACGACTAGGTGTCCAGGAAACCGTCCCAATGAATTTCTACGGCCAATGACAACTGCTAATGAAAAACTGTGAGCTTGACTTACTGGTGCAGGCTGAGTCCAGAGGGTCACTGTCAGCACGGTAGAAGCCATTTTGGCATGGGCAGATGTTGGCCCCCCTGGAGCTTGTGCGACTGTTGGGGGGGCAGGGGTAACACGAGCCCTCCCCCTGCTTGTACTTGAATGACCCGGGGGTGCACGCTATATTGGAAAGACAAAAGCGAAAGGGACAGTCAGAACACCGTCAATGTCAATTAAGCACAACACCAAACCAAGGCCGGCCACATACTACAATCTCATTCCGGCTGGGGTCAAGTATGTTAGAAAGGCCTAACTATTGATATATTCCTAACTCTGCCTATTCCTTGATGATAGGCCCTGCTTTACTGAAGTTGTGAGACATTGCAAGCCAAGAAATTGCGAGATAAAGCATTCCATTTGCGAGATACAGCTTTTGATTGCCAATAGATAGGCCTAGTGCACGGCTCTGACTGTCTGCCTGGTGGCCGACCTGCCTATACTGTGCCCCTCCCCTCTTTCTCCCTCGCTATGAAAGATGTGAATGTTTGTGTTCTCAGAGGTACTGCAACTAATCAGTCTCCTCCGTTCCAAAAATACCAAATCTTAGGAGTCGATTTCTAGCGGATTCGAATCTTGACACTCAGAAATGGGAGTCGACACCAGGAGTCGACGTGCAAGGAGTCGATTCTTTTGGAGTCGACTCTCCACCACTACATCATTGCTGTTAACAGTTGGAAAAATGGCAGAGAAAGATAAGCGACAGCAGCGAAGTCCTATATGGCAATACTTTGAGAAGTTAAATGAGAAGGTGGTAAAATGCAACATTTGCAAGGTGGAATTGAGATACAGTAATGGTAGTACAGGTGCAATGCTTAACCATCTGAAATGGACGCACCGTGAGACCCAAACCGTTGCGGTCATATGCAATAGCAATAAGACCATATTCTGCATTTTGAATTCACATGGAATTTATTAACATTTCTTATTGTTTTAATGGAAAACCAATAAAGAAATAGGCTGTTTAAACATAACGATTTTTTTTCTTCTCATTTGTCACATCCCCCCTGAATACCTTCATACCATACCGTCACACTAGACTATCTCAGTCCGTGTGGTGGTTGAAATATGTGAGGAAGTCTTTATAAGGGGTACTTCTAGCTAGTCTCTGCAAATCCTTCATACCCTCTCATTTCCATCATAACATATGAGGGATTTCAATCTATCCCAGAGAGGACTATGGATGACAGGTATATTGAGCGCGAAAGATGAAGATGGACGGATTACAGTAGATTGCTCCGGTCTGGCTAACAAGGATGGAGGATACTATTGAAAGTAAGCATACATCTGAATCCATCACTCAGTGTCCATTTGTGGCTTAGAAGAACTCACTGCTTCGACACTTAATTCAAAAGGTGGGTCCGGACGCCTACAAAGCATGTTGATCATCAATCAATTGCAACTATAGAGATACTATTTTAGTTTTAGACTGGCACCATTTTGGGTAGCCCTTCTCTTTTTGGGGGCCTAACCTCTATCAATTCAATCTCCAACTTCATTGAGAAAAGTGTCAAGATAAACCAGATAAACCAACAAAGGTCTCAACATGAAATGGGGTTAAGATTTGTACTAAAAGTAGGGTTAAGGAGATTTACACTAAGAGGTTGTAAATACCACTTAGAAACTAGACATTCCTTTTACCTTTCTCACATTCTTTAAGTGTGGTGTAAAACCGTGGCTCTGGCTAACATCTGTCTTATCAGCATTAGGGCTCATAAAAACCTTGCTGGCGAGAGGGTGTGATTAACTAGTTGGGCAAAGTGGTTTTCCAGTTTGAACTTAAGCTAAGTCCTAATTCTCCGGAATGCCGCTTTGAGTGAAATTAGTGAACTTTAATGGTCCGCATTCTAGCTCAAAAAACATGCAATAAATAGCTTTAAGATAGAGTTAAGATAACATGAAAATTGTTTTTTGGCTCTCGTAACTCAACTAAGACCTCAGGCCCAGATACACTCTTGAAACAATCATCTGATTTCTGTTTGTCTTATTATACACTGTACCATTGTTTTCTTTTGTTTGTTTGTTTCTCGAGGACAGTCACCTGAATCCTCCGCTTTAATCCATTAACCTTGGAGGGCATGCCCATTTGTCTTTCCCTCTCTGATACCGGAAGGTTCTGTGGCCCTCACTGGCCTCTCCCTCTCCCCCCACCCTCTCTCTCTATCCACCCCACTCTCTCTGTCCCCACCCTCTCTTTCTCTCCCCACCTTCCCCCCCTCTATCTTTATCCCTCTTTCTCTCTCTCCTTCCCTCCCTCTCTACAACTCTCACCCCCCCCCCCCCCACCCACCCTCTCTTCCTTCCACCTTTCTCCCACTCTATCTCTAGACTGAGGTAACGTCTCTGTGTTAATAGTGAGCGATGCAGTGTTGGCTCACGGTGGTCTGAGCGGTGTTAATGAGTGCAACCGCCTGTAGATTAACTAACGGTGGGGAGACCATAGAGGAAATTACACTTCCTCCTCCTCGCCACCGCCAGCCTCTGCCACGCCTGAAGCCTCTGGAAAGCCTTTTATCAGGCGTCGACAACAGGCTTTTAACCTTGAGCCGCCAAATGGCCATAAATGAGCTCTCTGGCGCGTGTTATTCACCGTTCTTCGCCATTTCTCACGCCCAGGTGAAGAAAGAGACGAGGAAGTTTCTCTTTCTTTCTCTGACCGCTCCTCATTTTGGCTTGGGCATTGGGCAATTCACGGCTCTATCTCATTATCCTTCTCTCTCTCCCTATGTCTGTCTCTCGCTTTATCTCTCCTTCCCCCTCTCACAATATCTCTCTCTCCCCCTCACAATCTCTTTTTCCTTTACAATCTCTTTGTCTCTCCCTCACACAATATTCTCTCTCACAATCTCCCTCTCTCTCTCTCGCTCTCTCTCTCCAACTATCTTTATCCCTTTCACTATCACATTCTCCCTCTCCATCCGATTCCCCCCTCTCTCAATATTTGTATGCTGCTGCTCTCTACAACAGCTCATTAATGCAAACTCTCCACCCTCCTTCACCCTTCATTCATGCGCCACACAATACATACAGAGGGTGGAGTAGACTGTGTGACTTGCATTGAGCATATAAACAGGCTTTAGTTAAGCATTATAAACAGGCTTTAGTTAAGCATTATAAACAGGCTTTAGTTAAGCATTATAAACAGGCTTTAGTTAAGCATTATAACCAGGCTTTAGTTAAGCATTATAACCAGGCTTTAGTGAAGCATTATAAACAGGCTTTAGTTAAGCATTATAAACAGGCTTTAGTTAAGCATTATAAACCAGGCTTTAGTTAAGCATTATAAACCAGGCTTTAGTTAAGCATTATAAACCAGGCTTTAGTTAAGCATTATGAACCAGGCTTTAGTTAAGCATTATAAACAAGGCTTTAGTTAAGCATTATAAACCAGGCTTTAGTTAAGCATTAAAAACAGGCTTCAGTTAAGCATTATAAACCAGGCTTTAGTTAAGCATTAAAAACAGGCTTCAGTTAAGCATTATAAACAGGCTTTAGTTAAGCATTATAAACAGGCTTTAGTTAAGCATTATAAACAGGCTTTAGTTAAGCATTATAAACCAGGCTTTAGTTAAGCATTATAAACAGGCTTTAGTTAAGCATTATAAACAGGCTTCAGTTAAGCATTATAAACAGGCTTTAGTTAAGCATTATAAACAGGCTTTAGTTAAGCATTATAAACAGGCTTTAGTTAAGCATTATAAACAGGCTTTAGTTAAGCATTATAAACAGGCTTCAGTTAAGCATTATAAACCAGGCTTCAGTTAAGCATTATAAACAGGCTTTAGTTAAGCATTATAAACAGGCTTCAGTTAAGCATTATAAACAGGCTTTAGTTAAGCATTATAAACAGGCTTTAGTTAAGCATTATAAACAGGCTTTAGTTAAGCATTATAAACAGGCTTTAGTTAAGCATTATAAACAGGCTTCAGTTAAGCATTATAAACCAGGCTTCAGTTAAGCATTATAAACAGGCTTTAGTTAAGCATTATAAACAGGCTTTGGTTAAAAGTCAAAACATGCGACTATAAACTCACCCTGGCACTGTGTGTCGGCCATGGCCGGCTCGAACCCCGGCATGCAGGTACAAGACCCCACGGGAACCATCCACTCCCCGTCCCCGTTGCAGTACAGCTTAAGAGGGACGGACAACTCCTGCGCGTTAGACACGCACGCCCCTGGGGCAATGACCAAGGAGGTGGCCTCGGCCCCTGTGGCCGTCTCGGGGAAGACGGCGAAGTTTGCGATGGTCGTCGAGCACTTCTTGAAGAAAACCCGCACGGATATCAACGACATACAAGCCCCCAGGTCCTGGAAGGCTAGGTAGAAGCCGGCCCTGGAACTAGGGCTGAAGCTTCGCACTTTGGTGTTGATCCTGCCTGCCTCGAGCAAAGAAAAACTCTCGTCAGGGGCGATAGTGTCAACTTTGACATAAGGGTTCTCCCTCCACAAGGGACTACTTTCCGTAGCGGTATCGCCATCGGACTCGTAGTAGAAGAGGTTAAAGGTCTCCTTGCAGGAGCCGGGGATGTTGGGAATACTGGCACAGTCACGGACGGAGAACTTGAGTTCCACGTAGACGCGCAGCACGCCCTTACGGGGGATGAAGTCCGTCCTCAGCCAGTTGTTCTGGTTGGGCTCACGCACATTGCACACCTGGTACGTCCTGATGGGACTCATGGAGTCGTCGTAGCCACTCACCTCCTCCCACTGCAGGAAAACAGACAAACAATGTTACTAGTGAAGAGAACTGTAGATATCATCAGACCTGGGTTCAAATAGTATTTATTTTATTTCAAATAGTTTAGCTGCGCTTGGTTGAGCTTGCTTGGGGCAATGGAACCCATGCAATAGTGCAAACCCCACCCATCTGGCACTCCAGGCAGGCTCTATCTAACACGCAACGTCTTTGAAAGAAAACAAATACTATTTGAACCTAGGTCTTCATATAATCATATTATCATTGCAACAGAAAAGGTAGCAATCAGAATGTCATTCCTAGGAAATGTTGGTTCTCCAAATGCAACAGTAATTTAGTAAGTGCTGATATTTGAAAGAGATTATGGGGCCTATTTTTAATGAGTTCTGCCATATCTGATCTCAAATCGTGTATAATGCAAACAGTGCATTATTTATTAAAGTGACAATTCAAATGCAATGTCATCTTGCTGGTTGCATCACGGAGGTGTTATGGTGTATACTGTAAAACCTCAATTAATAGCCTGGACGTTTATTTGCTTAAATCACTGAACACAACAGGCGCTTATTAGAGACAGGCTTCTATTTGAGCCAAGCGTCTATTTCCTTAATGCACACAGCTTTTGCTAATTTGAATAGTTAATTATTTAATTCTAGCATTCACTTCCAGCATTTTAATCAATTTCTTCATTTCCTTCACTAATGTGTTATCATTTAAACACTGTGTCACATTTATTTTGTCTTAGTATGCCTCTATTTCAACCCACAAAATGTTTTTCCTTCACAGAATAATTGTTCTCGTCTTTGACTATGCATTTACGTCAGTTCTTACTTATGCCACTAGAGGGCGATCATACGATTTCTGAACGGGGTGTACTCCCCGAAGTTGTTGACTGTTTTTGTGCTTGCCAGTTAGCTAGCAGTTCTCAGCTGTTAGCAACCAACGGCTAGCAGTTTCTTTCTGCCGATAAAAACTGATGATTGCCATACTGAATCGTTACTGAATTATTTAATGTAACAAATCAAACATTAAACCTCATAAACAATTCATGGTAATTCAAACAGCCGTTTATTTGCTGAAATGTGTGCCGTTGTTCGGCTATTAAAAGAGACAGGCGGCTATTTGAGACTTAGCGTTTAATTGAAGTTTACGGTACTTTAAGATTCAAGTGGTATATTTCAAGTGGAATATTTCCAAGCCTACTCTTCAAGCCGCAAGGAGTATTTTTGCATGCAATGAAAACTGGTCAGTATACCTCATTGAGTTGAGCAGTGAATGAATCATTTCACAGCACTTAGCTTCAACAACGGTCTAACGATGATATGGTTCTCTACAGTCAGCAAATAAACCATTTACACCAGTTCATATCACAGATATTCTACACCAAATGTTTTCTGTAAGTTTTCACAAGGTTTTCACACACCGTTGCTGGTATTTTGGCCCATTCCTCCATGCAGATCTCCTCTAGAGCAGTGATGTTTTGGGGCTGTCGCTGGGCAACACAGACTTTCAACTCCCTCCAAAGATTTTCTATGGGGTTGAGATCTGGAGACTCCAGGACCTTGAAATGCTTCTTACGAAGCCACTCCTTCATTGCCCGGGCGGTGTGTTTGGGATCATTGTCATGCTGAAAGACCCAGCCACGTTTCATCTTCAATGCCCTTGCTGATGGAAGGAGGTTTTCACTCAAAATCTCACGATACATGGCCCCATTCATTCTTTCCTTTACACGGATCAGTCGTCCTGGTCCCTTTGCAGAAAAACAGCCCCAAAGTATGATGTTTTCACTCCCATGCTTCACAGTAGGTATGGTGTTCTTTGGATGCAACTCAGCATTCTTTGTCCTCCAAACACGACGAGTTGAGTTTTTACCAAAAAGTTATATTTTGGTTTCATCTGACCATATGACATTCTCCCAATCCTCTTCTGGATGCACTCTAGCAAACTTCAGACGGGCCTGGACATGTACTGGCTTAAGCAGGGGGACACGTCTAGCACTGCAGGATTTGAGTCCCTGGCGGCGTAGTGTGTTACTGATGGTAGGCTTTGTTACTTTGGTCCCAGCTCTCTGCCGTTCATTCACTAGGTCCCCCCGTGTGGTTCTGGGATTTTTGCTCACCGTTCTTGTGATCATTTTGACCCCACGGGGTGAGATCTTGCGTGGAGCCCCAGATCGAGGGAGATTATCAGTGGTCTTGTATGTCTTCCATTTCCTAATAATTGCTCCCACAGTTGATTTCTTCAAACCAAGCTGCTTACCTATTGCAGATTCAGTCTTCCCAGCCTGGTGCAGGTCTACAATTTTGTTTCTGGTGTCCTTTGACAGCTCTTTGGTCTTGGCCATAGTGGAGTTTGGAGTGTGACTGTTTGAGGTTGTGGACAGGTGTCTTTTATACTGATAACAAGTTCAAACAGGTGCCATTAATACAGGTAACGAGTGGAGGACAGAGGAGCCTCTTAAAGAAGAAATTACAGGTCTGTGAGAGCCAGAAATCTTGCTTGTTTGTAGGTGACCAAATACTTATTTTCCACCATAATTTGCAAATAAATTCATAAAAAATCCTACAATGTGATTTTCTGGATTTTCTTTTCTCAATTTGTCTGTCATAGTTGACGTGTACCTATGATGAAAATTACAGGCCTCTCTCATCTTTTTAAGTGGGAGAACTTGCACAATTGGTGGCTGACTAAATACTTTTTTTCCCCACTGTATATTCTACATTATTACAATATAGGCATGACTACCTTTAGGAAATATTCAAAGAGCTATTTATTACAGGATTAAATCCATGATTAACCATGATCCATTATTAACTGGGTTATTAACATATTTTTGCCTAAGGAATAAATCATATTTTCCAAGAAGTGAATCTTTTGATTCTAACAACTCAACCTGAATAATTAATTTCCATTCTTAATGAGGGCTCCAAACACTGATCAACTCAACAAGAGGAACAAAATGCATAATTCAATATGGCAGAGCACGCACACATGCAATTTATTCCAAAAAGATGAGTCCAGGAGTCAACATCCTACACCATAAATCAAGTGCAACATATTGCTGCAATACCTCACAAATATGATAATTGCACCCGGACAGAACGTATGGGCTTGTCACACATTTTGAGAGGGACGCCTTGCCCTAATGACATATGACTTTCTTGGGATGCAAAGACATTCGGTGTGAGGCTGCAGAAAGGCTTGAAAAGGCTGGACTGCCGAAGAGTGTTGCCATGGTAACCCATCGTTTTCATTGACTGACATTGCGCTCACGTCCCAAAGACAAATTACACTGCCCGGGAGTTGGGAAGGTCTGTCAAGCTGTTAGCCTGGGGGTCAAATTTATGTTGTTTTACTTTCTCACTATTCCTATGGGGGATATGATCAGCTGAAACATGTATTCCCAGCTGTAATTTGCCTATTGGCTTCTTCCACTTTAAGAGACATATTTCCGAATTCTTCAGCTAGTGTTTCTTGCAGCCGTGTTTGTTGCCGTTTTGGGTCTGTGTACCCAATATGAGTATGCGGCAGAGTTGAGTATTTTTTGACTATTTTGGAGATGTACACTACCGTTCAAATGTTAGGGGTCACTTAGAAATGTCCTTGTTTTCGAAAGAAAAGCAATTTTTTTGTCCATTAAAAAACATCAAATTGATCAGAAATACAGTGTAGACATTGTTAATGTTGTAAATGGCCATTGTAGCTGGAAACGTCTGATTTTTATGGAATATCTACGTAGGCGTACAGAGGCCCATTATCAGCAACCATCAGTCCTGTGTTCCAATGGCACGTTGTGTTTACTAATCCAAGTTTATAATTTTAAAAGGCTAATTGATCATTAGAAAACCCTTTTACAATTATGTTAGCACAGCTGAAAACTGTTGTGCTGATTAAAGAAGCAATAAAACTGGCCTTCTTGAGACTAGTTGAGTATCTGTAGCATCAGCAATTGTGGGTTCGATTACAGGCTCAAAATGGCCAGAAACAAATAACTTTTTTCTGAAACTCGTCAGTCTATTCTTGTTCTGAGAAATGAAGGCTATTCCATGCGAGAAATTGCCAAGAAACTGAAGATCTTGTACAACGCTGTGTACTACTCCCTTCACAGAACAGCGCAAACTGGATCTAACCAAAATAGAAAGAGGAGTGGGAGGCCCCGGTGCACAACTGAGCAAGAGGACAAATACATTAAAGTGTCTAGTTTGAGAAACAGGCGCTGCACAGGTCCTCGACTGGCAGCTTCATTAAATAGTACCCACAAAACACCAGTCTCAACATCAACAGTGAAGAGGCGACTCCGGGATGCTGACCTTCTAGGCAGAGTTGCAAAGAAAAAGCCATATCTCAGACTGCCCATCTTAATATGTGGTCCTCTGTAGCTCAGCTGGTAGAGCACGGCGCTTGTAACGCCAAGGTAGTGGGTTCAATCCCCGGAACCACCCATGCACAAAAAAAAATGTATGCACGCATGACTGTAAGTCGCTTTGGATAAAAGCGTCTGCTAAATGGCATATTATTATTATTATTATTATTATATATTTTCTTTTTTATTGTCTGAGATATGGCTCCCACTCCTCTTTCTATTCTGGTTAGAGCCAGTTTGCGCTGTTCTGTGAAGGGAGTAGTACACAGCGTTGTACGAGATCCATAAAAAAAACAGCCGTTTCCAGCTACAATAGCCATTTACAACATTAACAATGTCTACACTGTATTTCTGATCAATTTGATGTTATTTTAATGGACAAAAAATGTCTATGTGACCCCAAACTTTTGAACGGTAGTGTATGTTTTGGGGCTTTTTGGGAGATTTGTGTTTTGGACTATTATGGAGGTTTGGGGATACTCAGTTAAGAGAAACTTTGCTTAAATGTCAAACTTAAAGGTGTATGTTTCTCATTTGTCTTTAGCAATAAAGAAAATAGAAGAAACTTCACAAAGCGAGGTATAAAACAGTGGGAGGTGTGTCGTTTAAGTCAAGGGGAGCTCTATTAAGTAGCAAATGGAACATATGCTGTGGAACAACACAACACACACTCACTCCACTCTCTGGAAATGTGGTCCAGGCCAGTTCTGTGGTCGCCCACTTGCTGTCCATTAGTGTTTCTGTAAATCAAGAATAGAAGAGTTAGTTAAACCAAGAAGCTATTGTAACAAACAATAACTCAGGGTTTCCCAAACTCGGTCCTCGGGGCCCCAAGGGGTGACGTTTTGGTTTTAGCCCTAGCACTACACAGCTGATTCAAATAATCAACTAATCATCAAGTTTTTATAATTTGAATCAGCTGTGTACTGTTAGGGCAAAAACCAAAACGTGCACCCCTTGGGGTCCCGAGGACTGAGTTTTGGAAACGCTGCAATAACTATTAAGTGGTGGTTGGAAATAAAATTATAGTCCAAAAAGCAGAAGTCTATTATTTACCTAATTTATATTTTTTTGTCTATTCTTCTCATAAGATGACAGTAAGTCTATCGGCATCAATTCCACACAGATACATACAAAACTGGGTAGACAGAAAGTCTGTCATGAGAAAACCGTTAAATCCTCATAAAGCTCTATGAAATAAAAATATGCCTTTGATATCACTGAACATTTTGAAATTTGAGAAAATGTCCTATCCTCTAGGAAGGAGAAATCATCTCGATCGAATTTCAAAGCTTTATTACTAAGTGATATCACAATCAATCACAAAGCACTACTGGGCCCAGCCATAGTGGATTCCCCAGAGTACTGACCTCGTATTATGGAGCTAATAGTGAGAGAGTCAGGAGAAAACAAATCGAAGGATGAGGAGGTTAAACAAATAAAGGAACGAAAGAGAGTAAAGAAGAGGATCAATAGACATCGTTGTCACCTGTCAGTTTGTATGATGGTTGACTGAGGTCATCAAAACACACTAAAGGCTTGAACAAGGTTATCTTCTTGTTGTTTACTCAAATGCACCTCCAATTTACAGTTGTGTCGATTACTTTAAATAGAAGCTCAAGCATAAGGACTATCAGGGTTGGGTAGGTTACTTTCTAAATGCAATCCATTACAGTTACTGGTTACCTGTCCAAAATTGTAATCAGTAATGTAACTTTTGGATTACCCAAACTCAGTAACGTAATCTGTATCATAGTGGTCTCTGACAAATTTAAACTTGCACCTTTTTTCAATGCTGAATTGAATGTCATTGAGAAAACAGAAAGGTGTCAATTTATTTTTTGAATTTAAAAGTAATCCATCATCTAGTTTTCAAAAGTATCTGTAATCTGATTAGAATATTTTTGCTGGTAACATAATTGATTACAGTTAGTTTTTTTTGTAATGAGTTACTCCCCAACCCTGAGGACTAGCTTCCTTATTATCATAGTTTGGATCTACAGTGAGGGAAAAAAGTATTTGATCCCCTGCTGATTTTGTACATTTGCCCACTGACAAAGACATGATCAGTCTATAATTTTAATGGTAGGTTTATTTCAACAGTGGGAGACAGAATAACAACAACAAAATCCAGAAAAACGCATGTCAAAATATTTATAAATTGATTCGCATTTTCATGAGGGAAATAAGTATTTGACCCCTCTGCAAAACATGACTTAGTACTTGGTGGCAAAACCCTTGTTGGCAATCACAGAGGTCAGACGTTTCTTGTAGTTGGCCACCAGGTTTGCACACATCTCAGGAGTGATTTTGTTCCACTCCTCTTTGCAGATCTTCTCCAAGTCATTAAGGTTTTGAGGCTGACGTTTGGCAACTCAAACCTTCAGCTCCCTCCACAGATTTTCTATGGGATTAAGGTCTGGAGACTGGCTAGGCCACTCCAGGACCTTAATGTGCTTCTTCTTGAGTCACTCCTTTGTTGCCTTGGCTGTGTGTTTTGGGTCATTGTCATGCTGGAATACCCATCCACGACCCATTTTCAATGCCCTGGCTGAGGGAAGGAGGTTCTCACCCAAGATTTGACGGTACATGGCCCCGTCCATCATCCCTTTGATGCGGTGAAGTTGTCCTGTCCCCTTAGAAGAAAAACACCCCCAAAGCATAATGTTTCCACCTCCATGTTTGACGGTGGGGATGGTGTTCTTCGGGTCATAGGCAGCATTCCTCCTTCTCCAAACACGGCGAGTTGAGTTGATGCCAAAGAGCTCGATTTTGATCTCATCTGACCACAACACTTTCACCCAGTTCTCCTCTGAATCATTCAGATGTTCATTGGTAAACTTCAGACGGCCCTGTATATGTGCTTTCTTGAGCAGGGGGACATTGCGGGTGCTGCAGGATAACATGTACTGTGTTAACAATTGTTTTCTTGGTGACTATGGTCCCAGCTGCCTTGAGATCATTGACAAGATCCTCCCGTGTAGTTCTGGGCTGATTCCTCACCGTTCTCATGATCATTGCAACTCCACGAGGTGAGATCTTGCATGGAGCCCCAGGCCGAGGGAGATTGACAGTTCTTTTGTGTTTCTTCCATTTGCGAACAATCGCACCTACTGTTGTCACCTTCTCACCAAACTGCTTGGCGATGGTCTTATAGCCCATTCCAGCCTTGTGTAGGTCTACAATCTTGTCCCTGACATCCTTGGAGAGCTCTTTGGTCTTGGCCATGGTGGAGAGTTTGGAATCTGATTGATTGATTGCTTCTGTGGACAGGTGTCTTTTATACAGGTAACAAGCTGAGATTAGGAGCACTCCCTTTAAGAGTGTGCTCCTAATCTCAGCTCGTTACCTGTATTAAAGACACCTGGGAGCCAGAAATCTTTCTGATTGAGAGGGGGTCAAATACTTATTTCCCTCATTAAAATGCAAATCAATTTATAACATTTCTGACATGCGTTTTTCTGGATTTTTGTTGTTGTTATTCTGTCTCTCACTGTTCAAATAAACCTACCATTAAAGTTATTGTCACGATCGTTTATGAACGGGACGGACCAAGGCGCAGTGTGATAAGCATACATGTTTATTTAAACGAATGAACACGCGACAAAACAACAAACGAAACGTGAAGTCCAAGGTAACACACAAACATACCTTACACGGAACAAGATCCCACAACTAACTAATGCCAAATGGCTGCCTAAGTATGGTCCCCAATCAGAGACAACGAGCTACAGCTGCCTCTGATTGGGAACCACCCCGGCCAACATAGATCTACACATTCTAAATCTAAAACATAGAAAATCCAACATAGAACATAACCACAATGAATATACACAACAAGGAAAACCACACCCTGACTCAACAAATAAACGTCCCCTGAGTCAGGGCGTGACAGTTATAGGCTGATCATTTATTTGTCAGTGGGCAAACGTACAAAATCAGCAGGGGATCAAATACTTTTTTCCCTCACTGTAGACTAGCTAAAGGTTATCTTGTTTCTCATACCCTTTACAGACAGACTTTACGGTATGTTGCCTGCTAATAAAATCTGCCAATGTTTTTTGGAACCCAATTCATACAGTCACGTTTTTACCACATTCTTGCCGGGATAAGCCTTTTATATCTCCAGTGCACATGCCGGCAAGTTTAGGAGTGGGAGTAGACGTGGGCCGATAAATCCATTGAATATACACCATCACAAAGAAAAACATGATTAATTAGTTTTAGGCAGGTCCTAAGAAACAGTATAAGACTAATATAATGTAATTTCAAAAGAATAGAATGGCATATTGAGATTAATTATGTTACTGGTCTGTGCAGCCTATATGGTACATGGCTGTGCCATGCACATGAAATCAATAGTTATTTTGTTCATTAAACAACACATTTAGGCTGATCTCAGTCAACACACATATTGTATAGTAGGCTAAGTAAGAATATAATTAAATATAACAGAATAAAATACAAGGCAAGCCCATGCTTTTTTGATCCACGTTTCATCTCTTTCCTACCCTCACTCCGCTTTGTTAGGGAGCAGGCGTAGGGTCTTACATTGAGAGTATCTTCATCATGATACTGAGAGAAAATAATAGCAAATCTATATTTTCAAAAGCATATTTCACAACCTCCGTGGGCTTTAGGAGTTGCCTATACGCGATCGAGCAAAAATAATAGGCCTACACTTGATTTAGGCTAAATTATTGCATGCTAAATGTTTCTAATCAGTGACAGATGAGCTACCACCTCTACCCAGACAGAGAATTAACCAAATACAGTGAGGGAAAAAACTATTTGATCCCCTGCTGATTTTGTACGTTTGCCCACTGACAAAGAAATAATCAGTCTATAATTTTAATGGTAGGTTTATTTGAACAGTGAGAGACAGAATAACAACAAAAGAATCCAGAAAAACACATGTCAGAAATGTTAGAAATTGATTTGCATTTTAATGAGGGAAATAAGTATTTGACCCCTCTGCAAAACATGACTTAGTACTTGGTGGCAAAACCCTTGTTGGCAATCACAGAGGTCAGACGTTTCTTGTAGTTGGCCACCAGGTTTGCACACATCTCAGGAGGGATTTTGTCCCACTCGTCTTTGCAGATCTTCTCCAAGTCATTAAGGTTTCGAGGCTGACGTTTGGCAACTCGAACCTTCAGCTCCTTCCACAGATTTTCTATGGGATTAAGGTCTGGAAACTGGCTAGGCCACTCCAGGACCTTAATGTGCTTCTTCTTGAGCCACTCCTTTGTTTCCTTGGCCGTGTGTTTTGGGTCATTGTCATGCTGGATTACCCATCCACGACCCATTTTCAATGCTCTGGCTGAGGGAAGGAGGTTCTCACCCAAGATTTGACGGTACATGGCCCCGTCCATCGTCCCTTTGATGCGGTGAAGTTGTCCTGTCCCCTTAGCAGAAAAACACCCCCAAAGCATAATGTATCCACCTCCATGTTTGACGGTGGGGATGGTGGTCTTGGGGTCATAGGCAGCATTCCTCCTCCTCCAAACACGGCGAGTTGAGTTGATGCCAAACAGCTCGATTTTGGTCTCATCTGACCACAACACTTTCACCCAGTTCTCCTCTGAATCATTCAGATGTTCATTGGCAAACTTCAGACGGGCATGTATATGTGCTTTCTTGAGCAGGGGGACCTTGCGGGCGCTGCAGGATTTCAGTCCTTCGCGGCGTAGTGTGTTACCAATTGTTTTGTTTTCTTGGTGACTATGGTC